CTTGTTGTAGAAGGGGTAATTTGGAACCCTGTTCCAGTTAATCTGCTGGCCCGGCACAGGCTCCACCACAAACTGGTATAATTAATTAAAGAAGTATTGATAAAAAAATTTGTATAGCTCATCAAGTCAGAGAGGTGGGTGGTATTTGCCCGTCTCATGCAGACACTTATTTTTGTGGTATTATTGTCACAATTGCTATATGCCCCAACACGCAGAAATATGTAAGATATAAAATAAAAGAAGAAGGACAACGTATACTGGGCCTTAGAATGGCCGGACTTAACGTGAAATAGAATCGTCAAAATACTAGCCGAGGTCAGGGACACAGAAAGAGTCAGATCGATGAAACAATCCAAAAGTCAAAGATACCAGAATTAGGGAAAGCCAAAATACAAGCCAAAGTAAAAATGCCAAATAATTATCAAGATCAAGAACGCACTTTCTGACAACCAACAAGTGGAAACCATGACAGGGCATTGACCAAATGCTGTTTTGGGTTTAAATAACCCTCCTACGGTTGTAATTGGCTGTACTTGGCCTTTGACCCCAAAACATGCAGGAGATCCTACACGCAGATAACAGGAGATCCTACACGCAGAGTGTAACAGAATAGTAACGTATACCGGACCTTAGAATGGCAAGAACAGAGAGTAATGATAAACGAGCCAAGGTCAGGGATGCCAGAAATCAGGAACAGCGAGAGTACAAGAGCCAAGGTCAAAGGAATACAGAAGGTAGAGTTGTCAAACACAGCCAAAAGTCAAAATCCGAGATAACAATACAAAGAAACGCACGTGGGACTAAGAAGAACCACAACAGGACAATGAGTCTTTACCTGAGCCTCCCTTAAGTACTATGTTTCTTGATCTGTAGTTACGCCCCCAAAACTTTCTAATTTGAAACTTTTGGCGGGCCGTGACATCATTAGCGTCATGACATCATTAGCGTCATGACATCGGCTCCCATGCGCCACATCATAAAAAGGGCGGAGCTACCGTGGCTGGCATGAAAATCGCTGGGAACAAGAGGAGAATCGTTTGGCATGTCCCCAATCCCTTGCCTGAAGATGCCAGCTTGTGGCACAGCCTGTGCTACCACACAAGGTACCCTGACACACTGCTATTGCTGAGGACCCAAATGAGAGGGGATCGATTTGCTATTTTTAAGAAAATAAATAAATATACAAATAAAATATGTTTTGCAGAATGACTGCACCATAAGCTTCCCCTTCACCATGATCCATGTGAAAAAATGGGTCTGCTGTGTCCAAAGCCTTGATCTGTTCTACAAAAAGTGTGTAGACATTGTTGCACCTCTTAAACTTTAAAACATTAGAATGTGTAGTTCTGACTGTCCAGAACAATAAATTACTAAATAATATACAGAGAAGCAGCGACTGACAGTAAGAAGAAACTGTTTATATATATATATATACATATATATATATATATATATATATATATATTTATATTCTTTATTTTTTTTCCAATATAGTTTTTATTAGGATTTTGTTTCATTGTTTACAAAAACTGAACAGTGGGTGATATGTATTATTTGAAAGAGATGAAAAAAAGAGAAAGGAGCCTTAGATTACTGGAACCTCCATGGGGGTTAACCCCTTATTGTTTTGACAGAAAGAAAAAAGAGAGGTTGGAGATTCCCGTATTGTTTATATTGTCACCAATGGAACACTGGTAAATTAAAACGTCACTTTTAATAAATCAAGTTAAAAGTCCCTTTTTAATAAGGACATTACACACACTCTTTTAATAAACACGTGTATACACACCACATCTAAATGAAAACCACATCTAAATGAAAATGGATAAATCCACTATAAATAATAATTCCACTAGAGGGAAAAAAATGCCCTCTAATGACTGTATTAGTCTACTGAAGTGGAATCCTACAAAATTAATAGTCTAGAAAAACTAAATCGTTTTAAAATAATTGTAGGGTGTACCCAACAGTACTAGAAAATCATAATTAGTTTACCGACAAATGTTATAAATTATTGGCACTCTATTGTTTGATAGATATTAACCCCCACCCCTAATAGAGTGGATTGCTAGAAAGTCTTATGCCTGTACACAAAGCTATGGCTTTGCTATCTGCTGGAACTAATTAGCACCGGTCCCTAATAAAACATTGTTACTGATTTCTGTTCACAGAATTGCCTTTGCAACAGTATATTAAAGTAACGAGGATCAGTTTATCGGTTCTCCGCCTATGATTGTAGCTTGGTTAGACAGTATAGCTGCTTGTATAATTGTATATTCAATGTGGGAAGTCAAACAGCATCTAAAGAAGCTGCAATCAACACCTTGATAACCTAGTTTAACCTCTAGGACAATATATATTATCGGATAGCTATCCAACCTATCCCCTCAATCCCACAATAGAAGATTAATGCGGCAAAGCTAATTGTCGAGTAGTAGAATTTCTCCAATTATATTTTAAATCTAAAACGGCTCTGCATCAATATACTGTCTGAGGGTTACTCGGTCTATATTTCATACCCCTCCGGTTCCCAGAGATTGTAAATAGATACTTTCTATGGTTGGAAAGATCGTCCTCTCTACAAAACAAGCTACTAGGCATAAAGATTCTCTCTAAGATATGTTATCTAAGTGAGCGCCACCCTACATCTCCCTGACGCGCGTTTCGCTTATCAGCTCATCAGAAGGAAACCGGGATCTTTCACCTCCCGGTCTTTTAAGGGTAATACCCTATTGCTATTGGTGACCGTTATTTTTAAATTGGCCAATGAAAAAGAGGATACTCTTTAAGTACATCTGACGTAATTGTAGATTAAGAATGGGTTTATTAACCCTTTGTGTTTCCATCACTTAACGGAGCAAGTTGTTGTTACTTAAAAACAATGTAAATGAGTAAAGAAACGATCTGTTATTGTATTTATCAAAACTGATATAAGCTTAGAACGAAGGATATTGTGAATTAAATTATTTCTCTTGATACTCAGTTGTTTAAAAAGTTTTTTGTATATATAGAAAATTGCTTTGATATTACTAAGGTCTTTGTTGATAACTAAATGACCTAAACTTTAGCAGATATAGCATCTTTTTTCAAACACAGTATTGAGGTTATAAAGTCACTAAATTGAATCTAATTGATTCTTAGGATAATGTCCATTTACTCTTACCAGTTTATAAATAATATACTGTTGAGCTAGTAGATCGATCATACCCCCAGGTTTGTAATCTACCTACAGTGTTCGTTGTTACTAACTAATAAAGTAATGCCCAAATAGTTCTAGTTTCTCAATTTTAATAAATATCGTCTTTGAAAGATGCTCCGATGGGCAATAATTTATAAAACTGCCATCATATTTTGCCGTTTGTGACAGACAATAGAGTTTTATATCGAAATTGCAGTTTCTGATAGTTACATACATAAGTGACTTGATGGCATGTGATTTATATATCAAATGTGCTTGGACCTTCATAATTAGATTAGTAAATGTAAATATTTAAAGTTCTTTAATAAAAACACTTGATTACGAACTGATAATTTATTATTACTGACGAAATGAATAAGTCAAGATATGGGCAAGAGCATTGTTAATATTGTCCGATACGGACAAAGTTTTTCATCAATATGTATGTTTTATCCCCTATATAATTATAAACTATGCTTACAGTTGAATGCCTGAAATTATTGATAAAAAGGACCAATTTATCTATCAAGTTGGAATAATTTGTGAATCAAAACTTGGTTACTGACAATAATGACGGTGTATCCATATCTCTAACCATGAATGAAAGGGGTGAAATTAAATTCTTCATTAAGCCCCCTAGGGGTCAGTGTTCGAAAGGTGTGTATCCACCTTGACTCTTGTTTTAATAGTTTGAGATTATAATTCCCCTTTCTCGAGTTAAGAGATATTTGTTCAATTGCTTGAAACTTCAAATTTGAGGCATCGCTGTTATGATGTTTTCTAATGTGATTGGCTACAGGTGTAGATATATTGATATTCAAAACCGAATTTACATGTTGCAGTATTCGTCTTCTGAACTGTTGGTATGTTTTTCCCACGTATTGTATACCGCAACTGCATGTAATTACGTAAACAACCTTTGTGGTGGAACAGTTAACAAATTGTTTATTGACAAAGCGTTGTTGTGTCTGAGTACATTCTACGATCTTAGAAGGCAATATATATTCACAGGCCTTACAATGTCCGCATTTGTAAGTGCCTTTGGTCATAGTTAGCCATGTTTTTGTCGGTGATTCCGGTTCTAAATGACTATGTACCAGAATGTCTTTGTGGGTGATATGTAGTATCACAAGAATACAAAAAGTTGTGGCTACAAGGCAACAATAGGTATAACATATAGCACGGTAACAAGTAACATGTACAAGGGTTCCCATACAGCTTGTAGTTGCATGGGGGAGTCTACACAGTTGCGGAGGTGTTTTATGCGCTCGTTCATTGAGCGTCCTATACAACATTTTCATGCTTATCGTGGGTTTCCATTCTGTGGGTTGTCACGGGTTGGGGGTGTCTGTCCGTTTGTCACACAGTTCTTATTGTTTGTTGTTGTATAAAGTTACCCAGGGGGCCCAGGTCGTGTGGAATCTTTGTGTTGTTTTTGCGTCAGGGGCGGTCATACGTTCGTACGTGTAGTATTGCTGTATTTTATCCCATAATTTGGCTTTGGTAGGACAGAGTGTGGATTTCCAGTTGCAGGCTATTAAATTTTGAGCTGCCAGGATGGTGATTGCACTTAGTTGTTTGTGTGCATATTTAAACGATGGGGGGAAACGCATAAGTAGGAATAGTTCGGGGTTGTTTCCAATGTGTGGGACATTAAGGGCACTTAGAGTGTTTTGTACTTCTACCCAGAGGGGTTGTATGTTGGGACATGACCACCATATGTGCGTATGTGTGCCTGTCTCAGCTGAACATCTCCAGCAGAGAGGAGACGTATTGGGGTAAATTTTATGGAGAGTGTAGGGAGTTAAGTGCCATCTGTACAGTAATTTTCTATGTGCTTCTATATGGGTGTAGCACTTAGTCCATTGAGATATGGCGTTCAGTGCGTGAATCCATTCGTCATCCGTGAGTTGGATAGTGCATTCTGTTTCCCACATTGCTTTGCAATGCGGTGTTGCGTTGGGCAAGGTACTGTCCCATGCCCTATAACAGAGGGAAATACTGTTCTTTTTCATAGGGCCTTTCCAGCATCTTTCTATTACTGCTTTTGTTGGAAGGGGGCTCTGGTCAGGGGGTTGTTGTTGCTTGTTTACGTGTGTGTTGATGATCCCTTTTAGTTGTAGGTACGTGAAAATAGCGTTTGTTGGCAACTCCCATTTCGTTTGTATGTCCGTGAAGGGTAATATTTCTTGCGATTGCATTATCTGGTGAATATGTCTAATGCCTGCATGTACCCATGTCTGTAGACGTATGTCTGGTGATATGGCTCTTAGGGCGGTTAGAGGTGCGTTGGGGTGGAATGTTTCTTTGGCCCCTACTGTATCTAAGAATTTAGACCAAATGTGGACGGTCAGTGTTGTGGTGGGGTATAGGTTTGGTTTGTCTGGTCTATGTTTTTTTGGTGTCCATAGGAAGTCGAGTGTTGCGTTTTTGTCCAGTTGGGCTCTTTCCATGTCTACCCATTGGATGATACCCCGATTTAAGTGCATCAGTATGCCCGATGCCAACATCGTGGCTTTATAATACTGGTTTAGGTTGGGTAACCCTACTCCTCCATTTTTAGGATGTTTGTAGAGTAAGGTGCGGGATATGCGCGTTTTTTTGTTTCCCCATATGAATGAGCTGCAGATGTTTTGTAGGGAGTTGAGGAGTGTTTGTGGGGCTTGGATGGGAAGCATTCTAAATATGTAGAGAAGTTTGGGCAGTAACATCATCTTGTATGCGTTAATTTTTCCTAGCCAGGAGATGTGCGTCTGAGACCATTTTTGTAAGTCTCTTTTGCATTGTTGGGGAAGCGTGAGGTAATTTAGTTTCAGGATTTCTTCTATTGTTGGTGCTATTTTTACGCCTAGGTATGTTAGTGATGTCTTTCTCCAGTCAAAGAGGTAGTTATCTTTCAGTATTGTTTTGGTGGCTAGTGGGAGTCCGACGGGAAGGGCCTGGGTTTTATCTTGATTCAGGCGGTAATGTGAGATGTCGCCGAATGTTTTTAGGGTTTCCATGAGGGGTGGCAAAGACCGCTGGGGGTCCCCTAGCGTTATCAGGATATCGTCGGCGAATAGCGCCAATTTATATTCCTGTCCTCGAATTGTGATTCCTTTTATGCAAGGGTCTGTGCATATTTTTTGGGCCAATGGTTCTAGCGATAGGATGTAAAGGAGGGGGGATAGGGGGCAGCCCTGGTGTGTCCCGTTAGTGATCGTGAATTGGTTAGATAGGAAGCCACCGTGAGCTACTTTAGCTGCTGGTGATGCGTAGAGTACCATGATTCCTTTGATGAATTCAGCAGGGAATCCATATTTGGAGAGCACTTGTCGCATGTACGTCCAGTTGAGTCGGTCGAAGGCCTTCTCCGCATCTAGTGCTAGGAGGAGGCCCCCGACCGACCCCCTACCCATTGAGGTTAATATGTTGAGGGTTTTCCGGGTGTTGTTCGATCCCTGTCTCCCCCCAACAAACCCCGATTGATCATTGTGTATCAGTTGTGCTATTATCTGGGCTAGTCTGTTGCTCAGTATCTTTGCATATAGTTTGGCGTCGCTGTTTAGTAGAGATATTGGCCTAAAGTTTTTGCAGATATTCGGGGGTTTCCCTGGCTTGGGTAGCGTGGAGATGTGGGCTAACAGCATTTCTGAAGGTAGAGTTCCCGTGTCGTTACAGTGTTGGTATACGTTTAAGAGGTGTGGTGTAATGTGTTGGGAGAATACTTTATATCTGTTCGGAAGACCATCTGGTCCTGGTGCTTTGTTAATCGGTAGGTCTGCTATGGCTTTAGCTAATTCTTCGGCGGATATCGGTTGTTTGAGTTTGTGGATGTCGTCTTGTGTAAGTGATGGTAAGGTAATGTTTGCCAGAAAGGCGTCAATGGTAGTCAAGGAGGGTATTTGCACTGTTTCGTCCTCTTTTAGATTATACAGTTTGTGGTAATAGTTGGCAAATTCGTTTACAATTTGTTTCGGATCTAAAATTTTTGAACCATTGTTGTCAATAAGGGAGGCAATCCTGGGTGCGACCGATTTTTGTTTGAGTTGCGCAGCCAGTTTTGCTCCGGCTTTGTTACCATAAGTAAAGTATTTGTGTTTGGATTTTTGTAGTAAGTAAGTGGTTTTGGCCAGTTCAAAGTCTCTTAGTTGTGACTGGGCTTTTAGTAAGGCTGCTTGTGTAGTGGGTGTTTGAGATTGTTTATTTTTATGTGTAAGTGCAGTTATCACTTCTATTAATTTTACATATTGGGCTTGACATGTTTTCTTTGCTTGGCTTGCGTGTTTGATGAAGCTGCCCCGTATCACAGCCTTATGGGCTAGCCATAGGTATTCTGGCGTGGTATCTGATCGTGTGTTTTCAGTAAAATAGTTTTGTAGATCTGTGGTAATCTGTGAGATTATTACTGGGTCGTTGAGCAGAGATTCATTGAGTCTCCAGGTTGATCTGCCGGTAGACGGGAATTGCTCAGTTAGAGTTAGGGTGATGGGGGCATGATCCGACCAGGAGATAACACCAATATCTGTGTTTATTAGTCTTGTTAGAGATGTGGCCTTAATGAGGAATCTATCGATTCTAGAATAGCTGTTGTGTGCAGCTGTATAGCAGGTATAATCTATGTCTGCCGGGTGTGATATTCTCCATGGGTCTATAAAGTTGTGTGTCGTTAGTGTGTGACATATTTGGGATGTTTGTTTGTGGCGTTGTGTTAGTGTTTTGGAGGTTACCCTTTTGGAGGAGGATGAGTCCATATTTGATTCCAGGAGAAAGTTAGTGTCGCCTCCAAGAATTGCCTCCCCAAAGCTGTACCTTGACAAGAGACAAAACATATTATCTATGAATACAGGTTGGCTTTCGTTTGGGCTATATACATTCATCAAAGTATATGGTTGGTTGTTGAGACGGCATTGTAATATCGGATATCTGCCCTTTTTATCACTGATTTTGCGAATGAGTTCAAAGACAACTGATCTGTGAATTAGGATCGAAACTCCTCTTTTTTTTTTATGGTAGCAAGTGTGATAATCTACAGGGAACCAAGGGGAGGTGAATCTGGGCGTAGATCCCCATTTAAAATGGGTTTCTTGAAAAAAGGCCACTTGTGCCCCATGTCTTTTGGCCTCTTGGAGGGCTAGTCTGCGTTTGTTGGGTGTATTTAAACCCTTGACATTAAGAGAGAAGAATTTTAGTGGCATGTTGCTTGGTTTTATGGTGATATTCGGGTAGACACTTATGTACCTTCTCCAGTAATGGAGTGTTTTAGGCGTTAATGTTTGTTACCGAGACTGTGAGAGGGGACTTTTTTGGGTACAGGGATAGGGTTGGGGTTAAACTATGTACACTTGCCTGTTAGCCTCGAGGGCCTGATGCAACAGTGTGCAGACGGGTATTTAATGGCTCACTAGTGGGCCGTCGTTAGGGGTCAGTGGAAGTTTGGTATGAAATAAATTGGTATTCCAAAGTGGAATAGATAATTATATTCGCAGTCTTAACACTTGTATTCTAAACAATATCAGTTATAACAATCGAAGGTTGAGCAGTGTGGGTTTTCCGCCAGCAGTGGGCCTATGTGAGGTGGCCACTTGTGCGGTATCAATACTTTTTTTTTTTTTAGATTGGATAGTGCAAACCAGTCATATAGTAATACAACATCAATAGTACTAGCTGCAAAGTAATACAACACTTTTAAGTGCAATAAGTTACGTGTCCAGGAGCGTGGTAGGGTGATGGTCAAGGCTGGTAGTTTCTGCGGCCTTGTGGAGTATTGTTGATCCATGGAATTTGTTGCCAGTCTCTCGCCATTTTTCGTGGCGGTGGTGTGTCGGACTTTTGTTTTCCGCTCTGTGAAGCAGGGATGGGGATGTTCCAGTCTTCCAGAATCTGTATGCCGTCTTCAGGCGTGAGGATTGTGCGGTCTGCTCCATTGCGTTTGACGAGTAGTTTAGTAGGGAAGCCCCATTTGTATAGGATATTGGCGTTTCTGAGGGCTGTTGTAATCGATGTAAATGAGCGTCTTTTGGTCATCGTGGCTGCTGATAGGTCAATAAATAGTTTTATATCCGTGTATTCTTCTGGTAGAGATGGATTGAGTCTTGACGTTTGCATTATTTGGTCCTTGACCGTAAAATAGTGGAGTCTGGTTATGACGTCCCTTGGTATGGTAGCGGGCAGGTGCCGTGGCTTGGGTAGCCTGTGGGTCCTGTCCAGGCGGAGGTCTGCGTCTGTCATGGATGGGATCAGAGATTTGAACAATTTTTGCACATAATGTGTAAGATCCTGTGGGCTGACATTCTCAGGTATACCACGGATCCTTATGTTATTTCGTCTGTCCCTATCCTCATTATCTGCTATTTTTCCTTCCAGATATTTAACTTTGTTTTCCAGTGCTGTGTGTGCATCTGCTAGCTCATTGTGAGCAGTTAGGATACCCTCCGTTTTTTCTTCTAGATGGGCTGTTCTGTCCCCTATTACTTGTATGTCAGCTCTAATGTCTGCAGCTATGCGCTGGAGATCTGAGAATAGGGCTGATTTTAATTTATCCAGCATAGTACTCACTGAGGCATTCGTGGTAGGGATGGAGGCTTCACTGCTGTGGTAGCTTTGGGAGTCTTCCCCTTCTGCCTCGTGTGTGGGTGAACCATGCGGTCCGACGCCATCTTGGTCTCCTGAGTGCTCCGGTTGTTGCGAGCTCAGATGTGAGTCAATCGTTTTTTGCTTTAATCTTTTTGACGATTTAGTCGTCATTATGTTCGGGATGGGGTTGGCAGTGAGATGGGCTGAGTTTGGTGGCGGATTTGCTGCGATACACGCTGTGGGGCCCACTATCTCGGCGGAGCTCTCCTTCTATGCGACTGCTTCCATGCGGTCCGTGGCCACGCCCCCCTATATTCTTTATTTTTATTGAGCATAGATAACAATACAATCTACAGCAGAGACAAGCCCATTCAAGACACAGATTTACATGACATTAGAGTGGCATTTTGGAACTTGGCACTTTTTTTTTTGTGTAAGAATAACCGCAAACAAAAGGGGCTGTAGTGGGACTGGCTTGTGGCAATATTGTTAAGATTGTAGGTAAGCTCGGCATAGTTATGTCAGAAGAGAGATATCAGGAGTAGCAAGCTAGTGATACTGGGCTGACTATGTAGGTCCTGTAAATAGGTCATAGGTAGAGACATATAAAATAAAACTAACAAATTGACTATAAAAATTCAGGTATATACAAGCGTTATATTTGTGATGACTACTATGTTGGTGCTATCTACCTGCCATTTGCTGGAACACAGCATGCCCTTCTGTGAT